CACACACACACACACACACACACACACACACACACACACACATCCAAATCCCCTCCCTTCAATAATAAATGTGTTCACCGGCCCTGTATAATTCATAGGCCGGTGTCTGTAATGGAATAGAGCAGCTGAAGGCAGGAAGCTGCTGCCCTCCGCACCGACTCATCGTTGATTCTTCACTGCGGCAGCGACCCACGTACTCCTCTGGGATCAATACGTGTATCGATGCACTGATTCAAATGTATGTTTACTTCTCTCTGTGGCTGCGGTTCAGTTCAAGAACCGGTGTTCGAACTCCGAACTCTGGTGTTCACACTTTTTCCAAGTTCCCTTTGATTGAACACTTGCATCTTGAGTTTTGAAATTCCCTGAAACTCTTTGCAAACTCTTTTCTGACGCGATGTCATGACCATGAACTCGGCTGCAGAATAAGAGTCAGGTGTCCTTCAGTGACGTTGGCCCTTGTTTAAAATGTCTGCGTGTACCAGCCAATTTGCTTCCTGTTTACCCCGACAGCGTCATGTGATATACATGTTTTCAGGCGTGTTAGTTCAGACGGGGATTATTACTGATAAGAAGCTAAAAAGCTCATGTTTTTTTTGGGCAGTAGCATCTTTAAATTGAGATGCTGTGTTGACTGCGTGTGTTCATTTAGCATTTAGCATCCCATCTCAAAAACAACCAACGAGTCAATTCACAAGTCAGTTTGGCCTTTTCCCCTTCACACCACTGAGTGAGACCCTCCTCCTCTAAACTGTGAATTATTCAACAGCTAAGAGAAGCCGTCTTGTTTTAGGCCTCATGCTAATGCATTTTTGACATCATGTAATGGATTTTGAAAGAGGTTTCAAATGGAAATGTAAAGTTTTGACCCAACAGCAGCGATATGAAGAAAAGAAATCCCCCCCCCCGAGCCTGAGCGTGGAAGAGTGCATGAGAACATGTGTCTGTTTAGATAAAGACTGTATTCATGCAGAGGTCACCATCATTATCATCATCAGCATCAGCATCATCAGCGAGGTGTGGGCGGATGCTGGCAGTATGCCGCTGTGACTCATCACAGCGGCGGGACTGAGTGTCATCACCTCCTCGTTGAGCCCCGAGGCCCGAGGAAAACAAGTGGAGAAGAGGAGGAGCGATGATGGAGGTGTTAGTCATACATTAGTGACCTCCTTCGCCTCCTGTCTCCTACTCTACATGACTTCTCGTTGAACTGACGTACGCCGGGCTCCAGCCTTTACTCCTTCTCTTCCTCGCCTCACGTTCTCTTTCTTGTTTTTGTTCCCTTCCTGTTTTCGCTCACCGGCGTCTGATAGAAGCCTGATCATTTCTCCAGCTTCCTCTTCGACGCAATCAAAACATTCAAGTTTCCAGCAGATTTCACGCTGCGACTGTTCCACGTTACCGCAACAGATTGTGACACCAGCTGGACGTGGCGTTTCCACGTTTGTCTCGGGCAATGTTTTGTTGTCGGGTGACATTTGGGTTTAAGTCCTGATCATAGGTGACACAAATCATAAGCTCCCAAACAAAACAGTATGTTTTCTCTCCGCAGGCCCTGAACGGCTTCGTCCTGGTGGTGACGGCTGAGGGGATCATCTTCTTCTGCTCTCACTCCATCCAGGACTACCTCGGTTTCCATCAGGTAAAAACTACTGGAAGAATTTCAAGTCACGTGTCTGAACCCCCTGGACGTCTCTCACTCCTCCAGCACATATATCCCTTGATAGTCTCACTGTCGTGGCCGTTAGACTAAACATGTTTTGGATTATGAGGAATTAGCTCAGCCTGCGGAGGGGCAATCTGAGGAGGCAGGTGTCTCTGAGGCGGGTGGGGGTAACGGACGCAGTGAGTGAAGGCATCGTCCTCGGCGCCCAGTGGACTGAAACAAACGCACATATGGAGAGAGAGGTTTAATCCATTTGGCTTCACAACAAAGCACCATAGCCTCCGGTCTAATCTCAATTTGGAGAATGTGATTATCAAATTATCCAAAGTCTGCCTGAGCGTTTCTCTGACACACACTTACACACAGACGCACACAATCTAAATACAGACACAACAACACGCTCAACATACTCATACACATTCACACATCTTCCCCCCTCTGTCGTTGCCTGGCAAGAGTGTGACCATCACCTCTCACCCCCCGCGTCCTCGTCCACCTGAGGCGCGTCTCCTCCCATTTACCAAACGGACCTAAATCTTCGGTGAAGCGTCCGTCTCCGCTCATGTGGCGTGTTTGGAAACAACACTACGCAGCGGGACACCTCGACAACAGAAAGCAACAAAAAAAAAAAAGGTGTCGACAGCTGTTGTTACACCCGTGATTTAAAACACAACAGTGGAACGAGTCGATAAAGACAGGAAGAGTGATTGGAGGGAGATGTGTGGAGAACAAGAAGCATTTATATTCAGACAAACCAAACTAAGATGAGACACGAGAAAATACAAATTTTATCTGTGTTTTTGATTTTAAGATATAATAATTATGTTTATTTATAAAACTCTGTGATAAAGCAGGTGATAAGATTTATAAGACAAATGCATGTATACAGATATTCCGATGAGACGAGTTCGTCAGTTATCTTTCTTGCTTCGGGCTCTTTTTAACACCAGGCTGCATTAAAGTACAAATGCTGTCTCAGAACTTTCTCATATTTCAGAAGTATTTCACGCAACACTTCTGCCTGTCAAAATTCCTTCTTGGCGATTCTGAGCACTCTCGCGGTGGGAAGGTGCTTCCACTCTCGTCCTCAGCCAGTTCACGCTGGGTCTCGACAGCAGATATCAGGGTCACAGCGGGTCTTTGGCTCCGTTTCAACGGTTTGAATTAAACCGTAGCGACACTTGATTTCTCTTGGCTCCACTTCAAGGCAAACGGAATCAAACGCAACCCTGAGGGTACCTGCTGACAGTAACAGCTTCAGCAAAACATCCACCTTCACTCACACAATCTCATATTAAGCGAATTTATCTCTGCCAACCCTGCACTGTATCAACTGTGTGTATTTGTTCACGTAAAAATTTGAACTCTGAACTCTGTGTCCTGTTGTTCCCCTGCCAGACTGACGTGATGCATCAGAGTGTGTTTGAGCTGATTCACACTGAAGACCAGCAGGAGTTCAGGAGGAACCTGCACTGGGCCCTCAACCCCCCTGTCGGCCTCAGACCCCCCACAGATCCCTCAGCGGGTGTGTTTACTGCGGACGCATCCAGTCCTTCACATCTGTCGTACTCGACGCACAATTTCATTCATAATGGTCTTAAAAAGTCTCAAATTAAACTTGTTGAAACCTGCAGAAGACATTTATTCATGTGGGAATATCAAATCCAATATATCGATAGATCGTTCAGAATCTAAACTGAGGTCACAGCGAGAGGTGACCTTTAACTGCAGGATGCTGAGATATGGTCTAAATGTTGCCGTTCACACACTCACACTCACTGTACACACCGTAGAGACGTTGATGCAACACAGCAGCGGACGCATCAACTCACACTTTCACCTGCACATGTTCATAGTGGACAGAAAGTAAAACAGTAATAAAATGAGATGTTTGATATCCTCAGATGGTGAGTCAGCGTCGCCCTCTCCTTGCCTCGTGAGCTACAACCCCGACCAGCTTCCACCGGAGAACTCTTCTTTTCTGGAGAGAGGCTTCATCTGCCGCTTCCGCTGTCTGTTGGACAACTCCTCCGGCTTCTTGGTAAGAGGAAGATAAATGTATTTGCTAAAAAGCAAACGGCAGGGTTTGTCTCGTCCATGTTTCGGATCTGGTATCCGGAATAATGCCGATCTATTTATCAATCATCATTTATCAGGGGCAGAGAACGTAAAAGTATAAATTAGTTCTATATCCATGATCTGTACGTGTTCACACTCAGATGTTAGTTGTTTTGTAATGTTCTGAGGTCTGTTGGTGCTGCCGGCAGTATGGCGTGCCACCTCAGAGTCTCTCCGGGATCAGAAGCCACCATTTACTCTTGTAATCCGCCTTAAGAGAGCCTCAGGGTCGTGGGGAAAAGGGCCTTAATCCCCACCGCTCAGGAGAGACCAGAGAAGTAGGGGAACTTGCTTAGTCAGGGTTGGTAGCTCCAGACCGGCCACTTCTGCTCTCACTAAGACAATTAGCTGCAGATGGAGAAAATCATGTTGTGGTTCAACAGCAGCGCAAATCCCTGAAACCTGCCTGGATAAAACGAGGCAGGGCCCCCCCACACGCATGATTCTGCAGCTGCTGCTCCTGCACATGCTTACAGAGAGGTCAGAGGTTGAAGTCTGGAACGTAAAGAGGTGGATTTTCTTGCTCGAGGACACTCCAGCAGGGCTCATTGATGACTTCAAACCCTCCTTCTCTCAGTCTTCCCTCCCAGTGCGTTTGCGTGAGCAGTAAGCCAGGTTTGTACTTGTGTCTACTGGTCGCTATGGCTTTGTTTTTCGTAATCCCTCCTGCTATTCAGGGCTAGATTCCTGACATCATGGCTGCAGGCTCTTAAACCCACCAAAGTCAATTAACCAGAGCTAACAGAGCAGAGGGGGGGTCTACAAACGAGATGCCACAGGGCGAGAGGAGGACGGCAGACAGGAGAAATGTCTTTTTGGTTTGTTTTGAGCTGCTGGTGGCTGTTGATCTGAAACTTGACACAACTTGAACCCTGAGGTTTCTGTTATTATCAGAAAAATCAGGTCAGGTCACAGGTAGAACCAGACAAAGGAAAGGTCGTATTTGTTCTCTGAGATGATGCAAATTTACCAGAATCAATGTCTCGTGAAGTTCATTTGTGCTTTCAGGCGCTGAACATCCAGGGTCGGTTGAAGTTCCTCCACGGTCAGAGCAGTCAGCATAGCGACAGCGAGGAGGGCACGCCGCCTCAGCTTGCTCTCTTCGCCATCGCCACGCCCATCCAGCCCCCAGCCATCCTGGAAATCAGAACGAGGAACATGATCTTCAGGACCAAGCACAAGCTGGATTTCACTCCCATGGCCTGTGACGCAAAGTACTTCACTTTTACAACTCACGATGAAACTGCGATGCTATTTAGCACAGCTCAGTCTGTAAACTCACGTGTGTCCCCACTGATTTTACTTTTATTTCAGGGGTAAAATAGTTCTGGGATACACCGAGGCGGAGCTGAGAGTTCGAGGTTCTGGTTACCAGTTCATCCACGCTGCCGACATGTTGTACTGTGCCGAAAATCACGTCAGAAGTAAGTCACAGGTTCACACATGGACTGTATGTAGAGAGTGAGGCCAAAGCATTTCAATCACCTCCTCATCAGAAACCCTGCCTCCTCCATGTTAACAGATGGTTTCAGCAAAGCTTCAGCTCTTGTATTTATAATTGCAGAAGTAAAACGTGTTTCTGAGCAAAAACAAATGAAATCTGCTGTAGCTAAAATGAGGTGAGTAATTTGATGTATTCTCTTTTCTAACGCTCCTCACCTCAACACAAAGTGCAGAATAAACTCAGTACACAGGGATCTACGTGTAGGCGGATCAGTATATAGTCGGATTTCGAGTGTGTTGACCCATGTCTCATGTTTGACTTCACATTACAGTTGTAACACATGCTACGAACAAACAAACAAACACTGTGTGTGTCTGTTGTTGATGCAGGAAATCTCCAAGCGAGAGTCAAGTGTCCTACTTAGCTTGTGTACCGGATGACCCGGTTAGTCGTAACCATGGTGCCCTCAACTCCCGCATCACTGCTACCAGACACACACAAACACACACACAAACACACACACACACACTGCATGTAGTCATGCATACAGAAATGGAAATACATGCATATGCATTTGGAAACGTATAACACAGAGATACATACATGCTGGGCACGCTCTGATGCATGCACAGATGGGAGGGCAGGTTCAGCACCCACAAACACAACATGATGATAA